GTCTGTCAAAACTGGCTCGTAATATCACTGCGAGCGATCGAGCGTGGGCTTTGTCTGCCGCATATGCACGGAACGCTTGCCGAGCGCGCATGTCCGTAGTCATCTGGGCATAAAGCTTCCTGTCCCAATCTTCCGGAATGTCTTCACCCATCTCTTTGTCATGTAGCGCAGACTGCATCGCGACGCTAGAACAGAAGCTGATGACAATCGGTAGAGCTCCAGGGTATTGCTGGTAGAAGTGTTGTATCTGTACAAGAGCGTCCTCTGACTCGTCGATATCCATCGCGTCTTCATCCTGCCCTTGCTGAACGATAATAAAGTTGACCAGCTTGTCGAAGTCCGGAAAGACCAATGTGCTTTGTTCGCGTTCGCCGGGTGGGGTATTGGACATTCTGAACCAGTATGGATCGAGACCACGTCGTCCTTCCTCTATGACCTCATGCCTTTCGGAAGCCCCTCCACTGACAGCGAGAATGTCGATCCATCGCGCCAGCACATCCTCATACGGAAGACAGCGGTTTGCAAATCGTGTCGCAACATAACGTGTGCTTCTTGTAAACCGATCCGAAGCTGGCGTGTTATGTTGATCCACAGACGCGTATCTAAGTAGTATCTGCCGGAACCTGGGCATGACAGAAGGATCGAAAGGTTTCGAAAATGCGCCGAGTACTGAAGATAAGGCTTCCTCTATACTGACAGCTACGTCCTTTCCTGCCGAATCCTCACGGAGAGATCGAAACAAGAACTCTAACAAGTCCAGGGACGGTTCTAGGAGTATCTTTTCGGGGGCAGCCTTCGCCAACAGTCCGATGGTCTCATAGCCATAGCCTCGTAGCTCCATATCTTGGTCATGATCTGGAGTTGGCCAGCCTTGATCTTGGATGAAGGCCCTCAGGTTGCCTACCAGACTTTCAGCAACCTGGGAAAGGTCGGAGGACTGTCCACGACGTGCAACGAAGTTGACTAGTGAGAAGATGGCTGAGCGAAACTTGGAAGCTTCCCTCCCTGCTGTCTTGTTTGTCGCATTCAGTTCTGGTGAGAGAAGGCCTTCTTCAACGAGCCTCGCTATTTGCCGTGGGTATGCAGTGCACCTGACAGATCTTGACAAGACGTTGAGTATCCTGATTTGTAGTGGTGTCTTTACGGGCAACGATCCAGTCGTCGAGGTCGAGCCAAAGTAGAGTTCGAACAGAGCTTCCACAACTTCTGGTTGTTCAAGATCCTTGGATAGCATTACACGTTTCAAAGTGTCCTCGCCAACCTCTGATATCCGGGAGTTGGTATCTGCAGATGCGAATAGTGCTGGCAAGAACTTTTCATCTTCCTTGAACAGCCCACTTGCCATGAAGCGCGTGACCAGGGCTTTTGTTTCAGTCAGATTTAGGCCTGCATCGGAGGTGGGATCCCAGGCATCTGGCTTGCCCTGCAGCGTCAAGAACTTGTAGTCTTCGACAGATAAACCCGGACAACGCAACGTGGCTTGGGCCTGAGGGTTACTCTCTCGCACAATGCTTAGCATGAGTAGTTTCCCAAACCATTTTGAGAGGAAGGCCGCATCGTCATCGGAAAGGCCCAAAGTTGACCTCAGCTCATGGTCCTCCTTGCTGCCGCGGAGGGGCAGTTTGAAATGGACCAGAAGACGTAGGATGAGATGTAGCAGCTGAGAAGCATGCTGTTCCGACTTTTCAAAGTCTTTGGCGATGCCTTGCAGCAGGATGGGAAGAAGCTCCAGTCGTTCGGCGACCGTAAGCCGCGATATGCCTTGCTGAATGTAAAGGATGTCGAAATGGCGTATGAGAGAGATGTCGGGATTCTCTTTATACTGCTTTAGAAGAGCACTCACAGGGAGCTTGATGTCTCTGCGATGTTATGTTAGTGCAACACTTTGTCGGGCGAGGATGAAAGCGTACTGTGACTTTATGCGGGTGTTGATGTGTTGGCAGATGGAGATGACCTTATTCCGCACAGCAACGCTATCTGAGCCGAGTTTGAGGAGTAGTGGAGAGAGGTAGACTTTGAGCAAGTCCTCAAGCTTCTTCTCGGAGCTAGCAAGCGCAATGCGCATCTCGACTTTGCCCACCAGAGCAAGCTCTTTGGCTTCGGGGGTTTGTTCTGACGCCATGGCGTGATGTGATGTGATGGGACTATCGAATGAGGGTGCTGGTCAACAAACGCGAGTCTTATGGCAGGCGCAGCAGGCAGACGCGGATGGCGTGGCTCATGGGCGGCAGGAGGACTGGATGACCAAGCGATGCAGCGTCGTAGTGTACCTATTGGGCCTCTTCGTCCGTGATTGCCACAGGTGGTGTCGGACATTCACAGCGACAGGGGTGGGCGCACGGGTACCGGGATGACGCAGTCGCACCTGCCTGCAACAATCGCATCGCGTCTTCGACGTGCTTCTGCCCACGTCGACGCCTGCTGCCTCTCTGCCACTCCTACAACACCGCCCGGCTAGCAATTCGCCGCCCTCCTAGCCCGTCCCATTGCCTTCGACCACCACCCCGCCGTGTACCCGCCAGCACGCCGGAGCCGCGCCTGTCACAAGCCGTCGACCGCACCTGCAATCACACTGGCACTCGACGCCCATAGCTCGCACTGTGTAGCCCCCTCACCGCCTCACAAAGCATCGCCCTACCCTGTGCACGCACCTCGATAGCCCTTGCCGGACGTTGATGGGTACTTAACTGCCCCACCACGGTTCTCTCTCGATTGCAGTCGCGACCGCCACACACAATTCTCGACACACGCCCGACCACGCAAACTTGCTACGCGAGCCAAACAGCGCCTTCGGAATAGCACGCCGCCCTCACAAAGGCTTCTGCAACCTGCCCCATAGGTTAAAGAGTCGTCTTTTCCTGCCCCAGCTCAGGACCACGCTCAAGCACCCAAAGTCGAACCCCACACAGCCGCCCAAGATGGACGACGAGAACGTCCTCAACTTCTGCGGCATCACTTCGTGCGACCCAGACAAGGCCGCCCAGTACCTGCGTCTCACCGATGGCAACTTGGAGCAGGCCATCCAACTCTTCTTCGACTCCCCCGGGCTCGCCGATGCCCCTTCTGCTCCCTCGCAGCCCTCGGCCACCGCTTCCTCCGCACAGAACCCCATCAATGTCGACTCAGACGATGACATGGACTTCGACCCTGCGCCACAAGGCACAACGCCACCCGCACGAGCACAGCCAGGCGTGGAAGATGACGAAGCCATGGCACGGAGGTTACAAGAGGAGATGTACGGCGGTGGCGCGCCTGGAGGAGCTGGCTCTGATGAGGTCCGCGCGCCCATAGAGCGGAGGATGGAAACACTCGTTGGGCCAGGCTCGAACTGGGGGCCTGCTGAGGACGAGGAGGATCTCGATGCCATGGTCCAGGAGCAGCTGGCTCGTCGGCGGACAGGTATGCCGCACACCTCATATATACAATTCCCGGACTTTGCTGACCCATCGGATCAAGGCCGCGCAGGTATCTTCAACCAGCACACCACCCACACCAATGTCTGGGACAACGCGACCGATTCGAGCACTCGGCGACGCGAGCTTGCGACCGCGACGGGCGGTGCTTCCGAGCAGTCCTCCAAGATGAACATGCTCGCAGAGCTATTCCGCCCACCATTCGAGATTATGTACCAGGGATCCTGGGAAAAGGCGCGAGACATGGGCAAGGATGAGGAGAAGTGGCTACTCGTCAACATCCAAGATCCTGCAATCTTTGATTGCCAGCGCCTTAACAGGGACATCTGGAAGAACGAAGACATCAAAGCGACGGTACGAGAGAACTTCATCTTTATGCAATACGCAAAAGACGACCAGCGTGGACAGCAGTACATGAACTACTACTTCCACGCCCGCGACAGCTCCGACGCCTACCCTCACATCGCCATCGTCGATCCCCGAACGGGTGAGCAAGTCAAGGTCTGGTCCGGCCCACCGATACCCGAGCCAGTCGAGTTCCATGCTCAGCTCCACGAGTTCCTTGATCGCTACAGCCTCAACGTCAACGCGAAGAACCCCGTAGCCAAGCGGAAGTCTGAGTCTAAGAAAAAGGACGTAGGCCGCATGACTGAGGAGGAGATGCTAGAGATGGCACTACAAAACAGCATGGACAACGGCAAGGGACCAAAGGATGATGACCCAGATGCTCTCACCAAATCTACGGACAACATCAAGGGCAAGGGCAAGGCCGAAGAAGCCGCCCCAGAACCCGAGGCCGAGCCTGAGGCAGCTCCTTCAAATCCCGTCTTTGCCGCTATCTCTGCACATGCTCCCCACACCGAGCCGACCGTTACCGACCCCAAAGTCACGACCCGCATCCAATTCCGTGGGCCGTCAGGACGCCCAATCGTGCGCCGCTTCAACCTTTCGGATCCTGTTCGCCGCGTGTACGAGTGGATCAAGTCCGACGTACCCTGGGAAGGCAAGCAAGGAGCTGAGTTCGATCTGGCGTTCATGGGCAAGAACCTCCTCGACCACGTCGACGACACAATTGAAGTCGCTGGACTCAAGGGTGCAAGCGTGATGGTAGAGTTCTTGGACAATGAGTAGTCCAGACAGCCCAACGGCTGCGCTGCACCGCACGACGGTGCTACTTACAACGTATAGGCGTACAAGAGACATGAGTAACGAATACGTAGTTAGATGTTTCCAGGCATCACCGCTTGGACGACATACCTGGGGTCTTTAGATCTTCTTACATTGCCGCCACTATCCTGTGTGCGGCCAAATACCCTTGCATTCTTTGGGCACTTAATGGGTGGTCGTGTTAGTCTCAGTATTGAATTCTATCAGTACTTTATGAAAAGTTTCTCTGACCACTGATGTACGTGCGTGGCATGGTATCTCAGAAAGCATGTGTGAAGGTGAGAATGCGTTGAATTATCATACGCTTCCGCCATGAGACATGTCTAGCTATCCATCGCAGAATGCACATCTTCGCCGATGTTGCTATGTATTCCAGTGCGTATCATCCGCGCCTACGCCATCAGGCGTTGAAATGTCAACTCACCCCCATCGATATAAACCCCCACTTATATCACCATCTTCATCACCAACCTTCATGGTCTCGTCCGAAGAGTATTCGTAATCTGTATCGCCATCTTCCTCATCAACCTTCATGGTCTCCTCTGAAGAATCTTCGTGATCTGTATCGCCCTCTTCCTCATCAACCTTCATGGCCTCCTCCGAAGAATGTTCGTGATCTGCATCGGCATCTGTACCTGCATCCTCGTCGTCGCCAAAGTCGATGTCGACGTCTTCGAATTCCGCATCGCTATCGTTTCCATCCCAGGCATCTTCTTCTTTCGAGACGAAGAGATCATGCTTCCTTTCCTGAGTAGCCTCGTCGACGTCACTTTCCCCTTTCTCGAGATCTCGCATGCTGACAAAAGATGGTGGGTTCATCTTCCCCTTCTTGTTCCCTTCTTGGTCCAATTCCATGGATTTTCGCTTCTTCTGCGGCCTGGGTGGTGGGGGGTCGTGTTCACCACCGCCGAAAGCAGAGTCGTGGTTACTGTTTGTTGGACTGTCATTGCCGCGGGTAGATGGGTAGTTGTCAATTGACTCCGGTACAGGAAATTTCGGCACAGGAGGTCTTGCTTCCTGCTTGGAGAGTTCAATCGCAGCTTTGATACCGTCCCATTCTCCTTCCGCATACCCCGCGTCTGCTGCATCGGCAACTGTTCCTCCTACTTCACCATTGAGTTGAGCATCCAGTGATCTTGCGTAAGCTAAGTCTCTTTCTTGCTGGGCTTCGCGCTCTTCTTCGGTCACTTTGGCGACTAAATCGGCATTTGCAGCCTGGATCGATGCGAACGCCTTCTGAGCATCGTCGGCAGCTTCAGTCGAGGTCGTGGCATCGTGGCATTCCAGATCGCCTGGTCGTACGTAGTCAGGTCTCTCTCTTTCAGGAACGCCGCGAATGGGGTCGGGGTTGTTGAACCAGTGTTCAGTACCGTAGTACTGTACTTGTAGTCTGCTTCTCATAGCTCGGTACGCTTGCCATTGACTCTCTGGTACTGGCTGTTCTTCTGCTACTGGTGCAATAACATTGCCATGGGGGTCTAAGTAGACGACTCGACCAGCGTGGGAGCGACCTAAGCGTGTCTTCGATGTGGTTACTTCCGGAAGTGTTGGCGTGGTCTTCAGACTGCCGCTGTTCTCTCCCGTCCCCCTTTGCTTTTCCTGGCTTTGCTCTGCTTGTATCATGCTCTCCAGCCTTTTGTGATCCGCACGCTTGTCTGTCATTCGCTCCAAGATTCCCATGGGCGTAAAGACAGGATCATTGATAGGCTTGAAAGTTCGCCTGTTATTGCTCGTCGAGTCACCAGGAGGAGGAATGCCAGACTCAAGACTCATCTTCGAGCCAGCCTCCAGCTGTGGATCGGGCGATGCGGGTCGATTTGCGTCATCCTCCTCTTCGTAGTACATGTTCACGGCGTCGATCACGTTGTAATTGAACTGTTCCAGCCAATTCTGGGCATCTTCAAAGTCGATGTCCACGCGCTCGCGAAATTCTTGTATCGCCTTAAAACTAATCTGACTTCTTGTTGTTCCTTCGTCGGTCGTACGCGGAGCTGCAGTCGTGTCTTGTGTGGGCAGCTTCTCGTCGCTTGAAGGCGTACTCTGAACAAGCCTTCGCGACGACTTGGGGGATGCAACCGTGTCAGATTCATCGATAGGCTGCGCAAGTTCGTCTTTTATCTTCCTGACCAGATTGTCCCTCTCTGCAGTCGCTGGGACTAATCCTTCTGCGAAATGCTCTTTGTCTTCGGCTGTGTCATCGCTATCATCACTTTCGTTCAGAATCGCAAGATCATCGAGAACTTTATAAAATCGGGCCACAAGGTCTCGCTGCTTATCAGTGAGTGAGTTGTGTCCTTGTCGCCGGCGCCGGCCATACAGTTCGTTCTTCAGAAAGTCGTAAACCTCATCGTCGGTGTACTTTTTCTGGAGCAATTTGACGGTTTGATCAATAGCGGCTCTTTGTACTTGGTGGTGCCGACCCGCGCTGATGGCATTTACGCCCAAGATTTCCTCAGGCGTGTCGTCCCTCAGCCTGCTGGCATCTCCCACCAGCTTCTCGAGTTTTTGGAAGTCTTCGTTATCGAATCGCATCTTGCTGAACGCCAATCGCGCTGTTTCAAACATGTAGCGCCAGCGAATCTTCTCAGCCCTTGTGGGAGTTTCTTCAAACTTCCCGCATTGCTTCGGTACCTTTTTGAAAGTGGACCAGCATATTCGTTGGGATTCTTCGTCTTCTACAATAAGTTCTTGCCCGAGGAGCGATATGAACGAAGCAAGAATGGGCCCGTTGTACTATAAGTCATACGTTCAGCTGGGTCTTGGTCGTAAGTAATAGCTGGTCCAACATACCGCTGTCGCGCCATGTACATCAGAATGAAACTTCGCGAGGTTTGCGCTTCCGTGTATGCAGTACGCAAAGTCTAAGCCGGTAACAGAAAAGTGCCGGATGTAAACGATGCAGCATGTGTCTTTCTCATTGACTTTCTTCTTCAAGGACAAATCGTATGCCTCGATCTCGTCGCTGCGGTAGGGTGAGTAAAACCACTCTGTACGTAGTCTCTTGAAGCTGTTCGATTCGCATCTCAGTGTCCTATGCACGTCAGTTATGCGCTTGTAAATGTAGCAGCAGTATTACGCGTGGATATATATCTTGCACCTCGTCTAGAGGAATGCTTCATCAGTCTCCCGTGCTTTTGTTAGCGGGGTAGGAAGGTTGTTGCTAAACATTGGTGTCATCGTGTTTGGAGGTGTCGTTGTTATTGTAAGAATATCTTGGTGAGCGTGAGCGATAGTAACACTGCGATGATTGTGATGAGATAACTATGCAGGACAACAGTAGTGAGGTGAAACCTCGGACGGCAGTGTTGACGCGAGAGGAAGCCGACCGTGGAAGCCAGGGCCTCGCAAGTTGGGCAGCCGCATACACGTGGTCAAAACTCTTGGCTGTACTGCAAGTGGTGAGGAAGGTATAAACAGCATTGGTGCGCTAGATAATGGCGGCAACGACCAAGTTTCACCCCACATCGCAACCCTCAATGCTCCTCCATGATCTTTTCATCTCCGATCCGCTGGGTGAAGGTGACTGTTCTGTCCTTGATCCTCCAGACCCCGCTCGCACCGCGCACACCATCACAGTCGCCGTTCTTCGCTTCCAGCATTACCATGTCGTCCACGTACTTGCCATACGCGCATAGCATCTTGCCCTCGTGAGGGCCTTGGCCGAACTGCAAGACTCAGCATCTAGTCCTGATGATCCGGGTACGAAATGACCATGTACGGCAAGCTAAGTCATGGCGCGACTCGAATGCTTTGACGTGCTTTCAAGGCATACCGGTTGCTTCTGCAAGGTGAGAGTAAGGACTGAATTCTGGCGACTTACGTGTACACCCTGAAAGTAAGTTACAGCTCGTGCCGTCTGCGCATCGGATCTGAATGTGATGGTTTGCGTCGTGAGGTTGTGATGTGTGCGGACTGGTCCAAGGCTGTGTACTGTCAGACTTTGTACTTTTGCTTGTCAACATGCAAGTGTTGAACCTACCGGTTCTTGATCGCATCCTTCACCTCATCAAGGCTCTTCATAGCTTCACTGAAAGGATAGCTGGCTTCGACATCGGATATGAAAACCTTCCCCAGCAGATCAAAGTCCTTCAAATCCAACGCCTGGCAATATCGCGATACGACATTCTTGATGGCCAAAACATCGAGTGGGTTAACGTCAGACATGACGGACGACGCTTCAATTTTCAATCCATGGATGGGGAAGTGTTCTAAGGTTATAACCTGCTTCTCTCGGAACCCCGCCCCAGAGAGCCGGACCCTGATGGAGGGCGGTAGAGTGAGGTTCTCCTTCTGGTTCAGTACCAAGCATCATTACAGGATAGTCGATGCAATCGCGGCCCAGACGTCCTGTCCTGTCCCTGCGTGTCGTCGCATCGTCACATCACCCTACCATGGAAACATGACGGGAAATACTCACACGATACCCTGAAGCACGTGTAGCTCGCAGGGCGGATCGTCATGTCGCCGCGTGTGTTTAACACAAGATTACGACGGGTAGGAACCTTTTGGAAGATTGCGCATATCTGCCGTTCAGGCACAGGGTTGCCGTCAGTCAGCACATGTCGGCAGCGAAGCAGGGGGCGGGGTGCGAACAAGAAGGACGGAGGGCATGCGATCAGCTTTGATTGGCTGAGACAGCCCACTTACCCCATACGGCAGGTTTAGAGAGACTGTGGATTACGGCGCCAGAAATTGAGTGAACATTGATTTCCACCCAACATGATTTCTTCTCCAACATGCGCTTGACATCAATTTCACCCCGACATCCAACCAAATCTGTGATGATCTCCCAGCTGATTTTGGGCGATAAGGAATTCTGTATCGCGAGCGTTCCCTGTAGCGAGAAGGTTCTGCAGGAAGTGGCTGGCCAGCACTCAGTCTGTTGATGCCTCCCCGGGCCCGATCCTGTTCCCTCAAGATTGCTGGATTCGACGGCGCTGGTAAGACCTACCTGGTTGGGAAGGTTGAATGACGTAATGGTGCCTCGACGGACTGTGTGTTGAGCGACTTCCCATCGTGCACGGCAACTTTCTGGATTCTACAACTCTATCCTTTTCGCTGCATCATGCATGTACGCCTATCAATATCTCATGCAAAGTGCGTACGAGACATGCCAGATCCGATGATTACTGAGGCTCGCCCTGGTCCTCCCAGACGCGTGATTCCTCCCGTTAGGATTCTCGCATGCCGCTTGCATATTGCCCCGGCCACCCCCTCCACATAGCCCTGGAGATCAACGTGCATTCGCCTCGACTTTCATTCACACTCCTGTAATGCTGGTAGCTAAGCAAATAAGCGTGTTCCGTAAGCAGCTTTTTGATTACTTCGCAGCTATCCATGTGGGTGTTTGGCCTCGTTCGGCGAATGCGCTGTATACGTTCACACGCGCTGAGCGTAGGCATCCACCACGGCGCCAGCACGACAGGCTTCCCCACCATCGCAACTGCAGCCATGAACACATACCAGACACATGCATCCCATGCGCTTGTGTATCGCATGCGAGCATGGCGTGAGCTCCGCTGGGCCCCTCACGAAAGGCAGCCGATATGGAGCCAATCCACGCTGGGCGAGAGAGCGCTTTGTTAAGCAACATAAATACTGTTGACGCCTTGTTTTATCTCCATCTCTCAATCTTAACACTTACGTTCTATTCACTACGAGGTCTACTGGCAAGCCGTGCGCACGATGGCGATCTTTGATACAGCAGACCTCGCCGCAAAGGCTTTGAACGCCGGTCTTGCTACGTTTGTGATTCTCTTTACAGCAATATTGGGTCGCACATTATACATGCAGAAGCTGCATCCTCTTTCAAAGTTCCCGGGACCGTGGTATGCAACTTCGTTCTCCGTCGTGGGTGCCATAATCTCTGTGTTGCACAGAGAGCCTCAGTTCTTCATGTACTTGGTAGAGAAGTACGGAAGTAGGCGACCCTTTCATGTTCCTGCCCGACTGCAGCTTCTGACATTGACACAGCGGACCGCCCAATACGCATATCCCCTACGATGTTGCTCTTTCCCAAGCCGTCCGCCCTCAAAGACATCTATCGGGACCCACAGTGCAACACTAGGGCTGGCATGTACGACAGTGGAGCTTTGGGACCTCCGCATCTGGTTTCTACGATAGACGGTGAGAAGCACCGTGTCTTGCGCAAGGCTTTATCGAACGCACCATGGTCCATCGGTCCACTGAAGAACGCATGGGAGCCTCGCTTCGATAGCCACGTTTCCCTGCTCGTTGAGAAGCTGAGAGAACATGCTGAGGCCAAGCGCACCATCTGTCTCTCTGATAAGGTTGCCGAGTTTGCAGCCGATATCCTCAGCATAATCTCGTTCACGCAGCCCTTCGGCAGTGTTGAGAACCAGCGCGATGAAAAATTCTTATTGACCAATTGGCGCAAAGGTTTGACATTCTTCGGCTTCTCGGGAAGATTTCGATTCTTGCGGGAGAGAATTCTGCGACTGCCTGTTCTAGGGGTCTGGCTGTTACCAACTACCTCTAATGACTACGGGATGGGCTGGTTGATGGGCGAGGCAGACCGCCAGGTCACCCTGCGAGAGCAGCAAAACAAAGAGAAGCCATTTGATGGAAGACCAGACTTCCTACAGCAGTAAGCATATTCAGGGTCCCTTTACGCGTTATCTTCGTACTTATTATATCTAGCTGTCTCGACGCCCGTTACTCAGATGGTTCACCACTGACCCCGACGCAAAAGCGTGCCCATGTTACGCTTCTTTACCAAGCTGGAGCAGACACAACTGGCACAGCAATGGGTTGCATTCTCCGACTCATATTGTCAGACCCGTCTACTCTCGTACGTGTTCGCGCAGAGCTCGATGCAGCAGATTCAGCAGGCCTCCTATCAACTCCAATCCGTTATGATGAAACCCTCCAGCATCTGCCGTTCTTCATTGCATGCATCAAGGAGGGGCTTCGCCTTTTCCCACCGGCCCCCAATCTGTTCCCTAGGGTGACACCAAAGGGTGGCAAAGTCGTTGATGGACACTATGTGCCTGGCGGAATGGATGTCACTAGCCAGGCGTACGTCGTGCAGCGAGACAAGGGCTTCTACGGGAAGGATGCTGAAGACTTTAAGCCTGAGAGATGGATGCAAGGTGAGAAGAGAAACTTCGAGCTGGAAGCAGCTCAGTTCACGTTCGGGGTTGGACCGAGGATGTGTCTGGGCAAAGATGTCGCAAAGTTGGAGATGTACAAGCTGTTGCCGGAGGTAAGTTCTTCCTGAAATAGATCTCGCGATGTTTCTTGCTAACTTGAAAGATTATTCGTCGGTTCGACATCCAGATCAACAAATCCGGCAGATATGTCGTCGACGGCGGTGTGGCGTACAACGTGGACTTTCTGGTTGAATTGGCAGTCAGGTAACAAGTATAGTAGACCCCGGGTATATTCACGATGATGTTCAGGTACATCTCGCATGTCCACGACTTTACCGTGAGGAGTACCGAACATGTGCCGAGCGGGTAAAGAGGCTAAAGGGCCATGCTCGAGGAATCCCTTCCCCCGCACACTTAGCAGATACCAAGCCCATCGACCCTGCTTGACATAAACGATCTTTAATTTCTCCGATATGTCTTACATGGTGCACATGCGCTCTACACCGGGTACATTCTTGAGCCAGATCTGCCCAGTATGACCGACACTATGGAAGCTAGCTGTACGGGTGTAGTACTCTAAGAGACACATGTCAAGACGGGTATTTGCATCGTACTTTGAGATCATCAGATAGAAAACCCGGTTGGCATCGTATAACATCCGGGTCACAGATCAGATATATAGAGCCACCCAAGTCTTCACCATGAAAGTCACGGCCAATACCCAAGATGCATTTCTCTACCCTCAGCACCGTTCTGGCTTTGGCCAGCATCGCCACATGCACGCCTCTCGACCCTCGCCAGCAGACAGCTACAGCGCTTGATGCGGCCATGAAAGCGCGAGGCCGTTCCTACATCGGCACTTCTTTAACCATCCGCAATGACAACACCGAGCAGAACATCATCCGCAGTGCGGAATTCGGTTCCATTACGCCTGAGAATGCTATGAAGTGGGATGCCACAGAGCCCAATCGGGGCCAGTTCAACTGGGGACAGGCAGATGCTGTTGCGAACTTTGCGACCCAGAACGGAAAGCAGGTAGGATATCCATCATAGCACCGCAGGTAAACACTGGCAGTGATATGAGCTAACAGGTACAATAGATGCGCTGCCATACATTAGTCTGGTACAGTCAGTTGCCAGGCTGGGTGAACCAAATCAACAACAACGCCACCTTGATGGGCGTAATGGAGAACCACATCAAGCAAGTCATGGGAAGATACAAGGGGAAATGTACCCACTGGGACGTCGTCAACGAAGGTACAAACACTATGTGAGAGCAAGAGACATGAACCCAGCTGACGTACTACCAATAGCACTCAACGAAGACGGCACAAACAGAGACAACGTCTTCCTCCGCGTAATCGGCGAACAATACCTCCCCATCGCCTTCCGCATGGCCGCTGCCGCCGACCCAACCACCAAACTCTACTACAACGACTACAATCTCGAATACGGCTCGGCCAAGCACCAAGGCGCTCTCCGCATCGTCAAGCTCGTGCAATCCTGGGGCGTCAAGATCGACGGCGTGGGTCTGCAGGGCCATGTAGTCTCTGAGCCTACAGGCACCCAGAGCGACATTACGCCCAGCACAGCGGTGTTGACCAAGGTGCTTCAGGATTACGCTGATCTTGGTGTTGATGTTGCGTACACCGAGTTGGACGTACGATCTCGCACACCGAGTAACTCGCAGAAGTTGACGGATGCGGCGGCGGCTTGGGCGAGGATTGCTCAGAGTTGTATTAACGTGCAACGCTGTGTCGGCATGACTATCTGGGTAAGTTTCAGCTGTTTCACCCTTCATCTACCATGGCTTGAGTATATGTGCTAACTTGTCGTGATTAGGGTGTTGCGGATAAGTATTCCTGGGTTCCTGGCACCTTCAACGGTGAGGGATCTGCATTGCTCTGGACGGACAACTTCCAGAAGAAGCCTGCTTACACAGCTTTCTTGGATGTGTTGAACGGAAAGAACACAACGCAGACGTAAGCATCCTTTGTTGCTGAAATTGAGCAAAAAGGTATCGAGAGTTTACCTGACAATGAGAAGGAGTGGGTCGCACGCCTGTATACTTTTAGTTTCCAAATCCTCTTCTACTGAATACAATTCCGTTCGATTTCAATGTGCCTTCTTCATTCTTATCTTTGTCTTCTCTTACTGTCTGTTATCTGCTCTCCACCTCCGTCTAAGCCTTCTTTCCCACCAAACGATCAAAGTGCTCAAAGCAGAATTTTCCTCCGACAAAACACGTCGCTACCCACTTCACCCACGCCGCGCTTAAGAAACCAACACCGTGCTCCTTCAATCTCTTCATGAACATGAGTGTCTCGACTGCATGTGCGCCATAGAGGAAGTAGAACAACCCAGTCTGAATCCAACGTCCAGCTGTAGCAACGTTTTCCGGAAGCGGTGAGTTGAGGTTACCGGGATGAAGTATGGCGGGGGTAGGAGCAGCGGCAAGGGCCATTACGATGCCACAGATGATGATGGGCTTGAGGTGTGGGCTCGAAGGCGGCGTGTATGTGTTGCGAAGATTTTTTGGCGCCATGGTTGGTGATGTTGTTTTCGGCGTTTGGTAGCTGAAGTTCTGCTGGGTCGTTTCTCTGGATGCTACTGAACTGTGTGAGCATCCACCACAGATACAGTCAACTAGGGCTGAATCTTTTCGAGGGAGAAGCATACCAGCGAGGAAACCACCAATGACGAGGGACTGTGTTTAGTATCCTACACAGACCTGGGTAACTTTATTTCTGAACTTCGGAGACGTGAACGAAACACTCGAGAACAGACAAATGACTTGTTCTTCGTTTGTCCGTCAAAATGTGACGCGTTGCTGCACGATTTCCACCTGCTGCCGAGGTACTTTCAACCGCCAAGCCTCCCCATTTGCATCCTCGATTGACAATGACAGTCGCACCCAACGAGTCAGCGCCGTCGCGGACAACCTCGAGGCCAAAGACCTACCACCTGCATAACCCTTACAGCATCTATAAGCCCAAAACACCAAACTCACGCGTCTCCTCCCGACTCCAACCAACCGACCTGCTCAAAGTGGGGCCATTTACCGCATACGGCAGTCTGACATTGCAAACCGTGGATCACTGGAACGGCTGCAAACGTATACTTAGCCTTGCGATTATGCAGCAAAATGCGATCACATGAAGCGCTAAGGACCCTTTTTTGGGGGGAGGGGGGCGACGGCGCGGCGTTGGTAAAGTAGTGGGTTGTTGCTAGGAATCGGGGGCCGTTCATGCAGCCGTGTGGCACGGGCGGGTGTTGAGGGGGAGAACTTTAGAAGCAGGAAGGGAAGATTCTCGTGGACGGCGATGTGAGGAATACGACTTCTTATGCTGGGCGTTGGGTTTGAGGGAGTCGGTTGTGTATGTTGATTAATGATACCGGCTTGAATGCAAGTATTTAGAGAGATGTGGAGCGAAGCACCGGTTTTGTTGAGAGTTTGGTACAACTATGCACCAACGCTTGATGCGGAGCCGCAGAACGCCTTTCCACAACATAACCACCTCATACTTCTACTTAAGAAAGCTGCTATGAAACCGTCCTATCCTTCCTAACTTCCACTAAACCTTCCCAAACTTGCTCCATCGCAGCAGACACGGCAATGCACAACCCTCCCACCGACCCACGCACCCCTACCCCTCGGGCTTGATCCCGTGCCGCTTCCCTCACAAGATCTCACCCGTCATCCGCATTCCACCAACCCAACCCACACACACCACACTACATCCCCCTAATTAACCCATTTCCACTCCTTCAATACAGCACCCTACAGGGAACAACCCGCCAATCCATTCACCACACGACTCGCCAAACAACGGGAGGTAAGTATACCGGTGTGACAATCCACTCTTTCCACACAAGGAACCCAGTTCGCAGCCAATGACCGTGCGCTGCGCGTGCGCATCCCGTGCAGTAGAGCGAGTGTCGCGCTTTTCGCTTTTTCTCGCCTTTTTGCGCGGTGCAGTGTGAGCATGGATCAAGGTGGTTGTGTTGCAGTGATCGATGAGAGTTGGAGAAGTTGCTGCATGGGGAAATGGCGGGTGGGTTGTGGTGGGTGTTGTTGTCTTGGGTGTGGGATGGGGTGGTGAGGTGGGTTGTAGTGGGCTGCGAAGAGAGGGATGATTCTCTCTCATTCGTGCTTTGACCTGTTTATTGACATTATAGTGGCAGCAGGGCATAATTGGGCAAACGTTGGACATGTGGCTCTTCCTAATATTGCATGTGTCTACCTTCCTCTGTCGAAAGTATGGCCGTAACCTCGTTTTCCTTTTTCAACACCAAGCCATCACGTCTTGTCCATCTCACGTAGTCTCTGACTAGACAGCATTCACTTCGGCCTCCATAGCCTTGTCCTCAATCGGTTTTGTAGTTTTCAGAACTGGTGTGGTAATCGCTGAATCGTTTCGCTGGGCGTGGGGTATGGAACCGATGGTCGGGGTTGTTGTTGAAACAGGACTCGCAACAGGACTGAGGTTGCTAAACATGCAGTTCAGACGTAACCCCCGGTATGAACTTGATTCGTCTGTGAAGCGGAAGGAAGGAAGTTCTGTAGCATCGAAGAAGGGTCGCATTTTGCAAAAAACGGCTTTGGAGATTTGTTTCAAGAGACGGAGTTTGAAAGGCTGTGGAATGTTGTACTGGAGCATCACTAGAAGCCTATAGAGCTCTCTATATAGTTTGCATTTCTCGTCTGGCCCCTCGGAGATGGCGCAGTCTCGATCGAATGGACTTTAAATGAACGGACGAGCGCGCTTGAAGAACAATACTAAGACATTTTGGTGGCGTTTGAGGAAGGGATGAGCGTTGTAAGCGATATTGGAAGCGATGAAAGTAGAGTCGGCCGATATGAAGATGCAAGATCAGATATCGAAGAGCAGACAAGGTAAAGAATATGAGCGGGCCATGTGAGATTTGAGTAAAAAACTTGGACCTGGATTCCTCAAGTGGAGCACTGTGCCATTTCGTGTAAGCAGGGCATCAGCCTATCAGTACCCAATATCACACGTCGTAACATCCTCGACAAAATGCTTCTCGCGATAGCTCCTCGTCCACCAAAGATACCACGGTACAACATTCATCTTAATCTTGTGACCCAACCTAAAATGACGATGTACGAAGTCAGTGTATGTCTCACGCTCATGCCGTACATGGGAGATCTTACCAAGGCGTATCCTGCACCGTCTTGACCACACTCTGACTCTCATCAAACGCAGTGTCGATACGAGCACGTCTCAGAGTCTCGTACGCATCAAACGCTTCTTTGACCGGTACACCCTCATCGCGCTTACTCTCCATCCACTTGGCCAAGCAGCGCGAGAACAGGACACCATCTTCAAACACGATACCCGTTGACTCGCCTTGCGGAGGCATAGCATGAGCAGAGTCTCCAATCAGCATAACGCGGTCGGTAGCCCATTTGCCTCCCTTGGAGAGCGTAAACACAGGCCAGAGATACAGACCCTCTGCGTCTTCAATCCAATGCGCAATCTGCGGGTTCGCAGCACCAGAATACCGCTCCAGCATTTCGTCCCGCGTCTTCTGCGCATCGGCGCCTGCTGCCTTCCAGCCGTTTCGGTCGGCGATCTCGGGGACTTGCATCAGTGCGCCTACGTAGATGCTTTCGCGGGCTTGGTCGTGGAAAGACGTCAGCATCATGCCGCGACGGCCAAAGTTCATGCCGCTGACGTCAAAGTGCGTGGGCTCGTAGTCTTTGCTGTCTTCGGACATCTTTCGTCGTGGGGCAAAGCCAAAGGCGTTGCAGATTCCGCTGTACATTGCTTTGCGCTCGGGCTCGACGTGCTTGAGGCGGGTGACGCTGTGGATGCCGTCGCATCCGATTAGTATGTCTGCGGTTGCGCTTCCGCCGTCTTCAAAGTCGATGGTGACGCTGGTGTCGCTTTCGTTGATCTTGGTTGTCTTTTTGCCGCAGATGAGCTTGATGTTGGGCTGCTTCTCGATGGCGGCGAGTACTCCCTTGAGTGCTTCTCCTCTTGTGATTCGCAAGGCAGTAAATGGAGGATCGCCCAATCCCTTTCCCTCTGGTCCTTTGAATGAGCTCTCTGCTATCTTGACGTTGGTGTAGAGATCGAAGACTTCGACCGCGAGACACTCGGCGCCATATCCTTTGGCGCGGATCTCATCGAGAGCTCCTAGATGTGATAGTAGACGCAGAGCGTTGGGTGTGAGGTTTACGGCACCGCCGATGGTAGCGGGCTCAGGCCGGATCTCGAATATGGTGATGTTTGGTGGTGATGAAACAGGCGCGAACTTTGTGAGGGAGAGGGCAGTTGTTAGGCCAGCTATGCCACCACCTAAGATGATAATGTCCATCGGCTTTGGAGAGGCCATGGTGGGATGTCTGCGAGTATTGCTTTTCAGGGTCGTAGCAACAGCTCTTGATAGACACTAGGCCTGTCTTTGAATGACTTGTGTACTCGTCAACGGTGAGATGTCGAAGAGTGAACTTGAATTTCAAATACAGAAAGCTGTACATATACACTTTACCCCAGAATGCTTGCCACACATCGGATGGGAACCCCTTGTTCGTGTACCCGTGGAGGCCTGACCTAGCGCAGACTGTGCACGTAGGTGGTACTCCGGCGTGTTGAGTTCTCGGTAAAACGTTGGGGAACCGAGCAGCTAACATTATCAGTCTAGCAGCCCGAACGGCCCGCCAACGTTGACTTACGCGCCTGTCTGGTTGTTATATATGCAGGGCTTCTGTTATCAGTAGAAAAGGATGTCAGGTAAAGGCAAATCCTGGGTAACACAATGTTGGTATTTCGCTACAGATCCAGATTCCAAACGCCGGTCCATCATGCCTACTAACTTACAGGATATACATTGTGCGCTAACAAGTTCTCTATCCACTGAAATTCCTCTACTGCTTCTTCTGCGCGTTGGGGCCCATCTCCTTGCTGAAGGCGAAGTATGAAACCTCGAGACTGGTGAGGGCTCGGATGCCGACCAGA